CCCAGATTTTATTCTTCATTTCAAGATAGAGATACACTGGTTGTATTCTGCTTTCAAATCCTAATTTCTATATCTTAAGGTTGGTTTCCTTAAGTGTGAGTATTAGGTTCTAGTTATTTAATTGAGTGTGTAATATCTTAATTAAATTCTAGACTCAAACCCCAAGTGAGGATAAGAGTGTGTAATATCTCTTAACACCAACTTGGTTTATCCAACACTTATTTCTAGCCATTTCTAATCCCACCATTTCTCTCCAATGTTCGAAAAGGCGTATTGCGGTTTTGAGGCGTTTTCATTTCATGGCGTATTGCGTAAGCCTTGAGGCGTTTTGAGGCGTAAGCCTCAATTTTTAAATTGAAAAACATTCACAAAATAATTTAAAACCAAAGATAGAACATAATGTATAACATAAATAATCCAAAAACATGAAAAAAGTATATTGTCAAAGCAATACATCGCAAACATAACAAAGTCTAACATGGAATCAGACATAATTTTGCTCGAAGTGATGAGCTTAAATTGAAGAATTGAAAAAAAGTTCATCAGTGTCTAACGGCTTGAAATTAGGATCAAAAGATGTTGCATTTCCTTCATTCTCTTCCTCGGAATTTCTGAAACACCAAAATAAACAATACAATACTATGCAATAATTCATCTTAAAAACAAAAAAAAAATAGAACAATTAGCACATCAGTAATCAAAAAAAGAAGAAAAAAAGGATATTAACAGATAAAAAAATCATCTCATCCAACTACTTGAAAAAATACCAATCATAAACTCATAAAAAAACATCAATTGAATGCTAGTGTACTTCACAAAAAGATTACCAAAAAAATAAGAAAAAGAAAAAATAGCACCACTTGACAATTGTAAAAAGAGAAAAAGGCTAAGTTAAGTTGGATGTGCTGGAAAGAAAGAGCAGACATAAAACGCAGAGATCCTAAAATTACAAGCAGACATAAAACGCAGCACCCTATCCTTTGCATGTGCTGGAGAGAAAGAGCAGAGATGCAGACAAAGAAACATACCTTTTTGCCGGAGAAGAAGACTGAAGACGGCCGACGCTGGAGACGGTTCGTAGCTCCCAAAAGGTAATCGACAAAGATTAGGGTAATCGACACTAATTTTGGGTAATTTTAGGATATATACACTTAATTGGGTTAATTAATTGGAGTAATTGACAACTTTAGCCTTCAATACCCAAAAATTTTAATCGTTTAATTTCCAAATTTCTAATCCTTGAAGTGCGTAAGCCTTATTGCGCGCACCGGCGCGTACGCCCCATGGCGTACGCCTTTCATAGAATTGTGTAAAAAACCTATAGCGTGAAAACGGGATTAGCTCCGGTGCGTAATATCCGGAAAAAGTTACAAGGCGCGCCTTGAGGCGGGTTTGCGTTCCGCCTTTTCGAACATTGTTTCTCTCCTGATCCTCCTTTCTTTTCTCATATTAAAAACCATTAAAAAGAACTCTTTCACACTCCATTCATTTCGCCTCTTGCTTGCCTTCAACATATTATCACATTTCCTCTCCGAAAAACCACAACTCTGTTAAGACCCTTAGTTCGAGATATATCAGCTTCATATTTACTTTTCTGACAAATAAAGCATTGTTGAACCAACCGCTTGACATCCAGCTTCATGCGAGGCCAGTACACAGTGTTGGAGAGGCGTTTAAGAGTTTTCAAGAATCCACCATGACCACCACAAGGGGTGTTGTGAGCCTCTTCGAGTAGCTTAGCACGCAAGGATGAACTCTCAGGAATTACCAAGCGCCCATTGAAATACAGTCGTTGTTCCACTAGAGTATAGCCCGGCCTGGACGTTGTGTTCTCCTTTAAATTTTGAATAATTGTTGCTGTGAAGGGATCTGCCAATAGTGCTTCTTCCAATCCGAGAAAGTCAATAGGCAAAGGTATTACCAAATGAAGAAAATCTGCATGTTGGGGCTGACGAGAAAGTGCGTCTGCACCAATATTTTCTTTTCTAGCCTTGTAGACGATAGAAAAGTTGAATGGTAGTAACTTAAGAATGAGACGCTGTTGTGTATTAGTGAGCACCCGTTGCTCCAAAAGATGTTTGAGGCTGTGATGATCGGTCCTTACTGTAAAACGACGCCCTAACAAGTAATGGCGCCATTTTTGTAGTGATAACACAAGTGCTAGCAGCTCCCGATCATAGGCAGATTTGTATCTATTTGAGAAAGAGAACCCTTTACTGTAGAATGCAATTGGGTGATCCTGTTGTAACAAAATAGCACCGATTCCTTCCATTGAGGCATCACATTCCACAA